AGAGAAATAATGGGATTTATGTTGGAAAAATTAAAGACTTTTTTGGGGTAGTTCTTTTGGTAAATTTCGTTTCGGGTTAGTTTTTTTCCTATATTTGCAATTATTTACGCAAATATAACGGCAAAACAAAATTGATGATTTCAGCTGCCTTTTTAATATAAGTTTCATTTACAATTTCGAGAAGCAGTTTTTTTGAGAAAGTTCAAAAATATTGGTGCGCTATAACACTTTGATAAGTATTTGGTGAAAATTTATATTCTTTTGACGAACACAATAAAGTTTAATTAAAAGTTTTTTGAGAATCTTTGAAGTTTTTTTGTACATTTTCTCTAACCGATGACAGTTCAACTGGTCTTCAACTTTTTAATCGAAACATTCTGGGTCGAAACATTCTGGTCACAGTAACTGGCTATCTTTGTTTGTTTTTTAAATTAGTGTGGTCGGGACATCTGTTCTACTGATAAATTAAGCAACTTATGTTTTTTTTCGACCGGCTTTTATTCGATTGCGCTCTCAGACACCAAAATCACAAATAATTGTCAAATGGGTTACAACACGGCCGATTCTTCACCAACCAAACGACAAAAAAAAACAGACAAAATGGAAAGTGAAAAAAAAATACTTTTGCAAAATTAACTCCTTCTAAGTTTGCAACTTTCTGTGCTACTAGCAGAGCTTCGGGGTACTTTTGTTTATTCCATCTGTTTCGTTTTCCATTCAAGGCTTTAGGCTTTTCGATAAAAGCAAAAGACTGAAAATTTTATTCCTTTTCAGCTGAATAAAAAAACTCTTGTTAGACAAGATTGATAATTTTTATAAGCAACATGTGTTTGATTTAGTTGCCACACAGCCGGGAGAAAAGAAATCACTCTATTTAAATTGTCGCCACCCATAAAAAATCTAATCTCTTATAAAAACGGTTTTTTTTAAAAAAAATAAAAGCAGTAGTGTATATTTGGTAGCGTTCTGAGATGTATTTTGGAGCTCATTGTTTACAACCTGACCAACCATGTCAAGAACAATCAACATCTTAAACCAATTCTGGTTATTAAAAATAAAATACTCTCGTTATTTTATAGATGCATTTGTGACCTTAGCTACCATCTTTTTATTCTAACCGCTTCTGACGGGGAATTATAGAAAAAACGGAACATTTTAACAAACGGCTTCATTTTTTCAGCTTGTTTAGAAAAACCAAATCATTTTAAGAAATCCTTCGCCTCTGATGCTGGAAAAAAAATCTGTCTATAACTGTCAAAATTAATTAACTTACCATATTTCGCTTTCAAACTTTATTAAATTCTGCAAATTAACTTGCAGAGAGCTGGGAAAGCTTACTTATTCTTCTATTAAGTATACACAATGTATTGAAAAAAGAACAGCCGATATACACTATCTGATTGAAAAAAGAAGAATGTCAAATACAGTGACTTGTACCATTTTCTTAATTTTTAAACCATTAAAATAACTTTTTAACCGTTTCAATGATTGACGCATTTTTTTAAATTTCTGGTGCTCACGTTGACTTTTTGATTCTTTATTGATAACTCCAAAAATTAAATACCCTTAGAAGCTTTTGCATGTCGGCTGTTTATTATTTCACAGAAAAAAAGTAACATTTAAATTTGTTCATTGTTAATCAATTTAAAATTGATGTCAACATAATTCAACCATCTGTTGGCATCATAATTGAGTTTTGTGGGAGAAACTATACATATAAGCTTTGTCAAAAAACTATATTGCATCTTCGTTCAATTCCAATTAAACCAATTTACCAACTTTTGTTTCATTATTTCGTTTTCTTCCCTTCAATTTTTATTTCACACTGACGCAAATGAGCAAATGTTTTTTAGTTGCCAATAACTATTAAAATCCTTTGTTTTAGTGGACCAAGGCAATTAATTTTAAGTTTTTAGTTTTTATTGACATTTTGTGACGTTTCGCATACACTTAGCTGTTTCAATTTAAATTTTTTAGAAAAAACTTACAATATCATTCATTTTGTTGTGATGACCGGAACCCGAATTATGTTTATTGAACTCTCCCTAAGCTTACACTTTTCAGCAACGTATTTTTTTCAGGACGTTGCTCTGTACAATATTGCGTGTATAATTGCTAAAATTCTGTTGTTTGTTTTGTAATTAATTATTCATTAATTTTTGAATTCTTTTCAATTAAAACCGAAAAAGCTGATTTTCGTCAATTTTTTTTCATGTTGATATCAATTCATAACATTGACATTGTTTCCAATTTTTTTTTCCTAAAGTCATGCCCTGGTTGCGCCATTTTATAAAAGTGTATAAATGTTACAATAAATTTAAAAAGTCATCGTTGTAAAAAAAATAAACATCAACTATTTTTAGGGTAATCTTTTTAATGAAAATAAATCACTTTTGAACTCCAAAGAAACAAGAGAACATCTTCTATGGGGTCGTATACTAAGGCAAAAATATATAAGGGAAAACGATTAGGCGAAAACTTTAACTATAAAATGTATTTTAGCAGGAATCTCACTGTTGATTTCTCCAACAGCATGATTAAGAAGCAGCAAACCTAAATGTAGATTTAAGGTCGCCGGTGGGCTCGCAGTTTGAAGATTTTGACATTGAAGATATCGACTTTCTGAGTTCAAATATAAAAACATATTTTACTTCTGTTTATTTTTTTGTAAAGTTCTGGGGGTTTGAAAATTGCCATATGTACTGGACTAAATTATGAGCGCTTTGAAGAATTGATTCATGATGCTGAGAGCGTAAGGCGAATTATAAATCGAAATTTCACTCTTTGATATTGTCCAAAATTTGTAGGTTTTCAGTTTTTTTCTTCAAAAAACTATTCGATATAAATTAAGGGGCTGTCGGAACATTCAGGGCTTTGCTTAAAATTGTTTGACGCTGCATGTAAAATGCTGCATGTTAGAAACAAGTTCACATCATTTCCGTAATCCAATTTCTAATTTCAAGCTCGGAGGAACAAAGGAAAAAGTACGTATGACGTTTCACAACTACTGAAACCTATTGAAAGTTCATTTTTTGAAAGATGCACTCTTTATTTTTTAAAATTAATTTAGAAAAAATGGCTATTTCTGTTAACTGCAAAGCAGTGAACTGACTTGGGCAACCTGTAGATAGAAAAAAAACTAGAATAAAATTTTTTTTTTATAATTTGACGAAAAAGTAAAATGAGCAGAGGCAAAAAAAACAGCGGCCAACTTGCTTTGATAAAGTAGCAGGCACTATAAATATGCTAAATGTTTAATTAACAAATAACTTTTTCAATAGTTAAATTTCAATGGAACATGACGCTGCAGTCATTTCTGGAAATTTTCAAGACGCGTTGTGCCACAAATACGTAAAAAGGTGCGAAACTGTGAAAAAAAGACCATCAACAAATTTTTAATTTTTCTGAAATCTTATGAAAAACTTTCCAACTTGCCATAACAAAAGAAATATCTACTTAAGTTATCAGTTGACACAATTATCGTTTGTTTACCTGAGATAGTGCCCAGTCCTGAAAAAGAAAACATTTCTCCTCTCAAACTTTCGAAATCTTAAGGTTAGCTTAAAGTTATACTTTTTAACAAACTGAAAAAGCTCGGAGTTTCAGGTCCTGCTTGTTATTTACTTTGAAGTTTTTTATTAGACAAATTTTGAAAAACGGAAAAAAAATTTGAAAAGTTTGAAAGAATCATGATTTACCCCACTCCCTCTTCCACGATGTTTGACTCATATGTTTTCATACTAAATGAAATAAAAACTAGACAAAAAAGGGATTAAACGTTTATTTTCAAAACCAAAGTAAAAAGTTTCAAAAGCAGACTTCAGGGTCGGATCTAGGATTTTCTCGAGGGGGGGGGGGGGGGGTCGATGGAAAATTTTGAAAAAATAGGCTAAAAATAGGGCGGAGAAAATTTTGAAAAAATAGGCCAAAAAAAGCGTTTTTAGGCACTTCTTAGAAAATGTTGACCAAAAAGTTGCGTTTTTTGGTGCGCGCTCCCTCTTCAAAATGAGTATAGATTGGCGCCGCCGAAGGCGCCTTTAGACAATTTTAAGGGTCCATCTCCAAAAATGGATATCGGAAAATAGTACAAAGGAGAGACCCTTTGGGTCGGCAGGGGGTCGAATCCCTGAGGGAGGGAGGAAGCGTTAATAAATCTTTCAAAATAACTGTTTCGCTGTCGTTAAAATGTTGGTTTGTAAATCGCTGCTTCACATAATTGATAGTTGAACATAATTGATATATATTTTTTTCCTCAGTTTTTTACCAAAATTTATCGGCTGAGAACTTTCATATTGCTATTTGTGCCGGAAAAAAAGGAATCAATTAAAAAAAAAACGAATACAATATTCTGATAAAAATTATTGCAAAATGATAGCAAATATCTAGTAAATAGTCCAAAAAGCTGAAACAATGAAAATTCAAATTCACATGTAATAATAATGTTCAAACTATTCTGTTTTAAAATTTTACTAAAAATTACACTTACAATTAGGTAATGAACTTATTTATGGATGCTGTTAATAAAAATGATGTTCTTTGAGGAATATGCTTTTTTGAGTTTATGAGTAAAAATGAAATTTTAAATGATTTGTTTTTAAAACCACGATACTGGATACGTTTTTTAAACCAAACTATTTTAATAACTGAATTCCGAATAATGTTTGTAAAAGGTTTTTATTAAAAAAGGTTCATTTTATAAAAGGTTTTCTTTAGAATTTCTTTTTAATGAGGTAATCACAATAGTTTCACAATTCTTCGCCTTGTTTTACAGTAGCTTTTTTGTGATTATCCTTGGAGATACCAAGTAATGATCTAACAACGTGTCAAAATTATTCATCAGATGAAAGCAGCTGAACTGACCTTTGACCATTATATCAAGTCGTGAAATGAGTTTTGACATTTTTGATCACATTGTGGCCAAAAGAAGGTCAATTATTTTTGAACGCTATCGTTGCAATTTTTCCTTGCCTTTTTTTGTTTTTCGCTTGCCTATTGAACACCGCGGGTGATAATCTATCAGATTTTGAACCCGGCAGAAAGAATTTGTTATGATAACTAGAACAAAAATATTTCGCCGCAGGTTATAAATAGAAGAAAGCCTTCTTTGAAGGAATTTAGCCCATACTATATCTAAAGAAATCCAACCTTTGAGAAATCGCACCCAAAAAGCCAAAGAGGATTAAACATTATCTGTTCAACATACATACTAAAAAACATCAAAAATAAAAAAATATAAATTTATCAATGAGCATCCAGATGGCAAAAATTCCACGAAGTAAAACTTTTTTCGACTCAAGTTCGACGTCCAATGAGTACTCATTTCATGGGTGCGAAAACTGGGTGCCTAGTTATGTTTATCTTCACAATCCAAATCCTGTAAGTTCAAATTTCATTTCAAAATATTGTGAAAGCAAAGTAAAGAACATGCATGCTTAAAAGCTTATCATTGGCAACCAGAATCAGATATCGAAATTATGAGCTTGATATTTTGACCTCAAGCTTAGAAGAGTATGTTTTTGCATGAATGAAAAATGAAATATTAGAACGCATGAATGAAAAAAGAAATCATTTGCATAGTTTCGCGCAATTTTCCGGGCTCTTTCGCAATTTAGCGGCATCTTTTCCTCAAAAAGAGCAAAAACATACTCTTCAACAGTTAGAACATAGTTGAAGATGGCCTCGGGCAAAAGAGCCGCACTCGAGCACTTTGTGCCCTCAGGCCGGGCTTTTTTTCCCCTCGGGCATCTTTCAACCATGTTCTCACTACTACAAAGTCATAATTTTTTTTACGACTTTTGATGACTTTTAAGCTTGATGTGAGAAAATATTTTTTTAAGATTTTGATTTTCTAAATTCCGCAAAAATTGTCATTTAAGAAGCGTAAAATTTGTCAAAATTGGTCCCAACTTTTATTCTCACAGTTCTTTATCAAGCAGCCAAATTTTTAGGTTTATATGGAAGTCTATTTAGGTTTATATAACCAGGAATGACAAAAACGCTAGTCGTACAATTTTATACTAGTGTCCAATTTTCATGCTTTTTTTCGTCAAGAACATTGTATGAAGACTCGACGACTTGCTTTTACTCTATAGATTCACGTTAACCAATAAACTCCCGGGGGACGCTCCCAAAGTGACATTTTTGAGATAAAAATGAGCTGAGCTTTCAAATGCTAGTTCTATTTAAATCTAAATGAAAGACAGTTATCAAAATCTAATCATATCTGAACTCATTTAAAAAAGAAAGTGGTGTTTATGAAATTACTCCTTGAAAATGGATTTATTTTGTGCGAGAAAATTCTGGTGTTCTTTTGTAGTTTTTTTTCATATAGAAAAGTTACAGATTAAGTTACTGTAATACCATTCGATTCAGCAAGCTTACTTTCTAATCACCCTTTGAAATTCTTTTGAGGCGTTTAGAGTTTTCTTCCGCTCAAACCAGCGAACAATTTAGTGATTGTATAGCACTACAGATTCAAGCTCGGTTTTTGGAGCACACAATCCGAACTCCACTGACACATTATATACTTTTTATACTTTAGAAAATATTGCGGCTGGAATTCAGAAACAATCGATGCCTAATAAAAAAACAGATAAATTTTTTGTTGTTCTGGAATCCAGCAACAAATTTTTTATCTGGATAGCGAGTGATAAATTTTTCTTTTTGTTCGAAGAACGTGAGTGATATATAAGCTCAAATTTTCCTTACGGGGAATCGATCCGTGGAGCTCCATGTTCACAGAAGATTTATGTTCACCCTTATACGTACCCGATGTTACCATAGCCGTGAAACCAGTCTGACTAAAAAAGCACCCCAAAATCGTTCTGGTTTTTTCAATGCATTGTTCTTTCTAATTTCATACACAACCCAAACTTTATTAATTGAAACTTGATATTGTGAGTCTAAAAATCATATTTTTTGATATTTCATTTACCAAGAACTATTCGAAACCAATTATTGGGCAGTTGGAACATTCAGGGTTTTTCCCTGATACTATCAGCCTTTTTACCCTTTTGTGGCTGTTAGCTTCAATCAAAACATTTTTTTTCTAAAACTCAAAATTATAGGTTTTGTTTTATATGTGTTTATAATTAAATGCAAGGAAAGGCGCGTGTGTTTATTTTTTTGCGTGAGAGTTTAATTGTGTTTATATGTGTCTGCATGTGAGTTTGACCAAACTATTTAATCTTTTTTAATCTCTGAAATTTCGGAACAGAAAAGCCTGCATCCCAACTTCTGTTGTTAAATCGCATAGAAAACTTGATTTGAAAACTGAAGACTGCAAACATCAGGGTAGAGCCCTGAAAATCCTGAGTGCATTTTAAGTTCTAAAGAGTAGTGTTCATTTTGAAAATTTAATGAATTTGTCATTAACAAAAAATCATATAACTTTTGTAATTTTTGTTTCTTTTTTCTAACACCTCACACGTTATGCATGTACAAAATTAAAAATATATTTTACGCTATCGCAAAGTAATAATTGACCAAATAAAAAGTCTCTATTTAAATTGAAACGCTTACTAAACTGGATTAAATTGCAGCTTACGCGTTATTAGCACAAAATATATGGCGCATTAATTGTCCAAAATGGTCAAATCGTTAATTTTAAACTCCTCAATTTCTACGAAGGATAGTCATAGGTGAATTGTGTTTTTTAGATTAAGGCTCAGAGCAGCGATACGTTTTAGATATTATTAAAAAAATTTCGCCAAAATTTGAAAAACTGGTCTGGAGAAAAAAACCTCCGAACACAAATATTTGCTCACTTTCTTCAAAAACAGCTTTTGGCCAGTTCATTCTAAAATTTTTCTAAAAGCATCTTTGCGCCAATGTATAGCAGTTTTGAGAGAGCGCGCAAAAAACGCCAAATAAGAGCGCGCCAAAAAAATTTTGGTCAAATTTTTTCGAAAAGT